AAGGTAAAATACATGAAATGAATATATCTATGTTCTATAAAAGTTAAAAACAGTCAATCAAAAAAGTAATACAAAATTGAAAACAAAAATTTAAATTATTCGCAGCAAAGCACGTCATGAAACAATTAACAACAAGAAGCCATTAGGAAAACCCAAAAGGGCCATTCTGTACCCAAGTCTAGTTACTAAAAATAAACCTGAGAATAACAGTAAATGATGGCAACAGCAAAGTGCAAACACGACATAAAGGCAGCGACGGCAGCATTACAGAGAAGAAATATTTATTGTTTTTTTTTTTTTTCTTATTTAAGGTTATCCGCCATCGTCTGCGAATGTAAATAGGTAAAAATGGCCCCAAATGACGGGTAGGTAAAAACGGCTCCAATAATAAAATTTTGTATCAAACCCTGAGAAAACTGCGTTTACATTTTCCTGATCAATAGCAGATACTTGACCATACTGTAAATTATAATTAAAAGCTACATAACTGATTGTACTCAGTACCAACATTGTCAATACGTAGTTCACGTTGATGTCGAGATTAAATAAAGATTTGTTTAAAAAAATGTTGGATTGTCTCTTGTTTTAATTTTTAAACTGCCTACAAAACCATTTATTGATGACTGGAGATGATGATGAAGATGATAATATGGTAATTGTTCATGCAAAACACTATGCCATGATGCAACCACTCATTATTTAGCCAACCAAAACGAGCAACTAATTTTGTTCCTTATTGCCTAAACCACACAGAATGATGCAATATGATCTATTTCTTACAGTATATAAAATCACAGAAAAATAAGACGGTAACTAGTTACTAGAAAAATCCCTATAATAATATAAGAATAAACTGGACGGAGGCTCATAATTGCAGCAAAACGTTTGAATTTCACTTTTTTTAGTCATGATTTAAACCCTCTTTGCTAAGCCAATCAATGAACGACAAGAATTCTTCACTACGTCACGTCAATGAAAGGTAGAGTGACATCACCCACTGCTGCTTTGTTACGCACATCCTATCTGTCAGTTTGGTTATGATGCATGGAGGTATTTATTTTAATCCACGGTGGAGCATATAATTATAATTATAAATATAGTTGTAACGATAATAATAACTCAGTAGTCGATTACGGATAATTCCATTAAAATAAGGCCATTGGAAGTAAGTCTGGTGATATTAACACTAGACTTAATAAATGGGTAATCTTTGGGTACTCAAGGCATTCTTTTTACTGTAACTTGTGATTTTGAATGCAAAATAAATATAAATCAATTACAAATGTATAAACCTGAGGGGCCTACGAGGGCAGGGCAGTCAGACCACTTGATTTACCTCAACCCATCCTCTGTAGGCCTACAACAGAAAAAAATACCATGCAGTCAAGCCTTCTTTTTACTACATGTGTAGCTAAGTACCGTATTATGCTTGCGTACATTATAATGGTACACTGAATGATTGTAAATAAGTTGAGTTGCAATGGTTAAAATATACATGCAACGTCATCTTTAGATAGGGCCTACATTTTCATTATACCTAAAACAACTCCCTGATTATACTAGTGCTGACGTGTAACTTTATAAAATAAGAGACTGGATTGTTCCATTTAATATATAGGGATTCTTCAATTTTCAAATTGATTGTACAGTATTGTTATCGCTACCGCTATCCATGATCTTATTCGACAACATTTTTTCATCTACTGTTCTTGGAATCTAATTATAAACATAATTATAACGATAATAACTTAATTCGATTATGTATTTTTATGTAAGACTGTAGGAACCTTTTACATTGAATGACAACGATAAGCTATTTTCATTATGTCACGTCAGTTGTGTCGCTGCCGTGTCAACAACAAATTATGCATATCCTGTCGGTTTGACCGGGCGTGGAAGAGGTATTTAATTATAGGCCTATCATTATAAATATATTTATAACGGTAATATACCATAATGGTTCGATTTATTGATATATAATGTACTACCGGACATTTAAATTTATACTGATATAGGCTAATGCTAGCAATCTGATAACAACTCCCTGGTTGAACAAAGGATTAAATATTGGTAACGCATTGGGGTTCAACCATTACTAAGGTTGCAATAATCCTAAATTGTTTTGATTTAAGTGTACATTATATTTTCGAGCTCAAGACAGATTGATGGTCAGCTAGTACCTCATTTATAAAGTCTGAGTTTTATTTATTATTATTATTATAATCATTTTATATACATTTGTATATTTTATGGATAAGTCAACAAATGAATCTTGAATCTCAACATCTCAATAGGAATGATTTTTTTGTAAAGTGCGCATGTGCAAACAAAAGGGGATTTCCCGTACCTTGGCCTTGCATCATCACGAGATATAATTTGTATTTGTTTTCATTCGGGGTGCAAGCGGAGGTGCAAGCCTGCGTCGTTCAGCAACATGTTTCGAGGTAGAAAAGCTGAAGTTGTTCGTCACAATTGGTAAGTTTAAACCGTAGTTAGTATTATATTGTATTTTGTAAAATTGCAATTTTATAAGTATACTGAACCAAAACTATATGAATTGAGTAGCAGACTAGACATGAATGAACAACTCCGTATTTCCCACCCAGCCTTTGATTGTCGAATAAAATCATATAGAGCGTATCGCGCTGTCATCACCGCACATTGCGGAGGCGTGAATTTAGGCCTGCCTACTCAAGTGCACACCTGAGTGTAGGTATTTTCATTCATGCAGGTAGTTAGGCCTAGTTTGCTTATGAGTTGTAAAATATAATTGTAAATTAAAACACGACGAAAGTTCATTTTTGATTGGTTTTACATTTTTCTTTTAAAACGGGAAAGGGCGTGGGTGGGCTCAGAAATCAAATTTTTGTCGAGTGACGCATCACCCGGCACGTGACTATGTTGTATTGATAGTTTTGTTAGGGTAATAATAATAATAATAATAAATAGAAGTTGCAAATTGCAAGTGAAGTGCTGCGAAGTACAACTGCATATAAATATTCTTCGAACAAAATCATTTATGCGAGTCAAGTTAAAATAATGAATAATAAAAATATAACAAATAATATGAGACACGACCCATTGTCTATATTATTATTAGAACACTTCTCATTGTTGGGTAACAAAGTCGTAATTTTTCATTTTTGTCAAAAAGTGTGTATAGTGATGAATTATGGTTTAGGTTTTTTTTTAATAAAGTTTCAAAAATTTCTCTGTATGTGAAAAATGTAGTTGATTACCAAAGGTTACAATTTTTATTTTGAAGACTGCATGGTCTAGGAAGTGTACATTTTTTTATGGTGCAAGTTTCCAAGGGTGGGTTTTCTAGGGGCGAGTTGACTGCCAAAGAGTGTTGCCAAAGTCACAGTGCGAGCCAGCGTGTTATTTGATCACGTGCGAGTAGATACGAGACGTTACTTTTGGGATTTGTGGAGTACAATTCAAAAAACAACTATAGGTCTAATAATGAATTATTGTGATGTTAAATAGACAATGTTAGCTATCAAGGAGCGACGTTGTTTTTCATTGGGACCTTCGTCCCTTCAAGGCTAGGCCTATACAATCCTTGCTAGTCTAGGCCTAGAGTAGGATAAGGCTAGCGCGACATGCGGGTGTACGTGTACGTGTTGTTAGTCTACAAACGTCGCCTAAAGTAATAGATTTTACCCGGCAGAACGAACGAAGGGAACTCGGCTTTTCAGTCTTAGGCCCTTGTTTTTTGACAAACAATGACCTAATTCAGAGGTCGAATTACTGTCAAGAATATGAATTGGCTGCTTCACAGCAATAATAATAATAATTCCATACTTCTATAGCACATTCCGCAAAAAGGAAAAAGCCTATATTATCTGAATTGATTTCAATCACTATTTGTACTCATAGCAATGTTTCAGATTTTTTATTTTTTTTATTTAGTTTTCCACTATGATCGAATAATGTAAAATCAATCAATCAATACAAATTTATCCATATCTTAGAGCCTTGATAAGAAATGCTCTTTTGGCCTAGTTGATTTTTTTAAGCTTATACAGATATCATTTTTCTTGTGTCATGTGAAAAAAATTAAAAATTTAAAAAAATTTAAAATAAAACATTTTGGAAAAGTGTATCAAAGGTAGTTGGTAGTTGATTATTGTGAAATTTAAACATAGAAATAGCTACATTCTTTTTGTGAAGGTCAAAATAAAAAAAAAATACTTCAACTTATTTAGCACTCCAACTACCTTTGTGACTTTTGTTGCAATATAATTTATATGAAAATTATATGACAAGACATCATCAAGGTATACTCCTAAAAATTTGGTTTGTTTGGTACATATAATTTCAACAGAATTAATGAATAATCTTAAATCAAGAGTCTCAATATTCTTATGTTTACTTCTAAATATAACACAACTTGATTTACTTTATTTAATGTAAGCTTATTTGCAGTAAACAGTGGCAGCACTACAGGGGTCAAGGGGGGAATTTTTCCCACAGAAAATTCCTCCCCCCCCCCCCCCCCCCGGCAAAAAAAAGAAAAAAACCACAATTCGTCGGGGAGAAATTATATGTATTTTCTACACATTAGTGGACTATCTATCTGTAAAATCGATTAAATAAGCCTCTGAAACCCCTAAATAGTCATATTTTTTGTAGGATCCGCCCCTGGACCACTTTCGAAAACATTTTAATTGATGTCTGATCACTTTGCTCTCCCAAAATTGTAAATTGCCCCTCAATTTCACCCAGGATTTCAGACACTGACACCACCACTGGCAGCAAACTATTTCGATATTTGAGTGAGCTCATTGTTAAAAATTCGAAAAGCTTCTTGTATATTATTGTGCTTTGAAAATTATATTTGTGTCATTGGCAAACATCATTTTAATTTCTTTACATGAATAAATAATATCATTTATATGCAGTAAAAATAATAATGGGCCCAAAATTAAACCTTGTGTTATGCCACATCTTAATTTGTTTCTTTCTGATACACAGTCATTGACTAAAATATATTGTTGTCTGTGTGTTAGGTCTCGAATTAAGGGCTCTCAGAATTAGAGGGGTTTCAATTTGGAGGGTCACCTGTATTTTTTTAATTATTGTTACTATACAGCATATATTAAAGAAGTTAAACTTCTGTATTAATCGAAAATGATAGTGAAGATAATAGGTAAATATTTGAATGCAATTAGAGATAGGGTGACTGCAAATATTGTGACCTATATATAGTTAGTATATCCGCAAAGCAGTGTAAATATAATGTATATGACATCTGGTGAACAGCTGAATACCATTAGATACAGGATATCTGTTACCATTAGTTTATGTTGCAATCTATCTAAAATTATCTTTTGATTATAATGGTATCTATGAGTTTATCTTTATGTTTCCTTTGGCTATCCTGAAAGAATGCTGTTTTTATGTTTCGTTGTCTTCTTTCTCCGCTCCATCAGGTATGAATGTCATGTTATTGTTTAATTTTTTCCCTTGCTTTTCCATCAGGAATGATGATATTTCATTTCATCTTTCATTATCTATTCCATCAGGAATGAATGCCATGTTATATATTTTTTTCCTTTCCTTCTTTGCTACATCAGTTTATCTGGTTTATGTTTCATTTTAATGTTTATTCTCTGTTCCATCAGAAATTAGCAAAATGTTATATTATATTACATTCCATTCCCTTATCCTTATCTTATATTTCATTATTTATTTCATGTCTCATACATTATGAATTATTATTTTTATTTATTATGATTATTATTATTATGATAATTTATTATGAGTAATATTAATATTTATTTTTTTCTTCCTCTTATCAGAATAAAAGTCATATTATTGTTTTATGTGTTTTGTTTTCATTTCCCCTTCTTGAAAGAACTTCAGATTCCAGCAAACACAAAAACCTCATTACAACATTCGCGAACGTTTTTGGACGCAGCTGTGGCTCCAGAAATTTGTAGACAGGGGTCCGACATGTCCAATGGGGAGTCTGAACCAAAGGGCCGACTCAGTCTACGTCCCGGAATAACAAATCTCTGGTAGGGTTCATGGGTAAAGTTTTTATGGCTTAGAATGTGCCAAGTCTCATGATCTGTGAAAAACTAAATATTCCACATCCATTATAAATCTTTTATTCCAATTATGACTTTTGTTGCATGACGACAATGTAATTTAAACAAAATATATATAAAATGAAATACTCTTGAATGTTGCATTTGTTTTATTGTGTCGCTTTTCCTTTCATCTGCCAGGAATGAACTACATTGTGCAGCAAGAGACGGTCAAGTTGAGGTAGTTAAAAGAATTCTTCACGATGTTCTTTGTGGAGTAGATGACAGAACACCAGTAAGCAGACTGTATAGCATTGTTTATAATATAAAGATTAACCGACTCTGGCAAATAGCACTTAAAACGTCCGAGTATCAGTATCTTAGTCGAGTTCAGGGTTTTACAGTTTATGAAAGAGGAGGTATTAAAGAAGAACATTCCTGCTGAACATCAGTCACTAAATTTAACTGAAATGTATATGGTAAAATTATCTTAAAATAAAATTTTACAAATCTTATTAAAAAGCTAAAATAAAGATTATACTTTGAGGTGAGACAACGATAAAATAATTTTTTTATTATAGTACATCATTCCATGTCTGTAAAACATAAAAGCTATGAAAAGGGTATTTCTGCTATGTTAATTTTGAAACCGACACTAACATTGGTAAAATTAGGATTTGGCATTTCGCCATTTGGCATTCCGCCATTTGGCATTCCGCCATTTGGCATTCCGCCATGGAAGGTTTGATAGAATGATTTGGTGAATTGGTGAAACCACTGTGTGTACTGAACATAACAATGGAGTAGCCTTTGTTCCAGGCCCTAATTTTGGGTTACTCACTCTTGCACTTAGTGTGCGCCATACCTAATTTAATTGGCGTCCCATACAAAGACAGGGTGGACGTGTGGCAACAAAGTTTTTGTACCCGTACTGTAGTTATCTATTTTTATGAATTGCCGACACGAAAGCTGGGGGTGGGTGGGGTTTGCTATTTTCAAGTCCTTCATTAAGCTTAGTAATGGTAACTCACTACTCTAATAGTAACCCACCCTAAAAAACAATTAAAAAAATAGCAACCCAGGGTTGTTAAAAGTTTTACAGTAATTATGAACAATGAGTTTATTTTTCTTCTAGATCAATGAAACAGCTCTTCACAAAGCTGTCAGAGGTAACTCAGTCGAGATCTGTAAAATACTGCTCCTGCAAGGTGCCGACCCTAACCTCACAAATAATGTTAGTAAAATATTCAGTTTATATATTAAGCCAAAGATATTAAGGTCCAATAAAAAAAATTATTAGTTTATCACCCTTGTGTGCATGTCTTCTATGGTACTGAAAAATATATATATTTTGAAAATTTTTTATTTATTTATTTATTTATTTTACTATTTTTTTTAAAATTTTGTTAATTAAATCTTTAGTATATATTGTTTGTATTATCTCAGTCATGTTTACTTTGAATATCAATGCACTAGCAAAAACCCATGGGTGATATTTGGCTTAAGCAAAATTTTAAAAAATTTTAAAAACCTCCCTTCCTTATCACTTTTCCAGCCTAGATAGGGTGATAAACTAATAATATTTTTATAGGACATAATATATATCAGGATTTTTTTTTTAACTTGGAAAATTGGCCATTCGAGCATGTAAACCAAATGATTAATCTTTAATTATTATACATTCGAGAAATGAACTACAATTAGTATTTCTGTTTGACATTATATTTTTGTAGGGTGGACGATCACCAATTTTTTTTGTACTTGGTCCAGCTGTTGCAGAGGTCCTTCTCCAAGCTGGAGCTGAAACTGATATTATTGATAAGGTCAGTTTTAGAGTGTCCCATACATTTATATTATCAACTAACAATAGGCAAATGAAGTAATATCTCCTCTTCTAGCACTGAGCCATTTTGTGGTTAGGGCATTCTTAATGGTAGTATTTTAAGTAGAAGGCAATATAATATATATATATATATACATTGTTTATCTAAATGTTTATATAAATCTATTTATTGTATGATGCTTACATTGCAGTGGGAGGGACGTACGCCGTTGGAGTTCATCAAAGAGCAGAGAAAAACCAACCCTGAACTAGAATCAGTGATAAACCTACTTGAATCTCGGAAAGACAGTAAGACTGGGAATGAGAAACATCGCTTTGAATACTTTTAACACTTATTTGAATGTTAATTTTTTATATTATTTTTTACTGATTGAATATATAATAGATTCGCTAATGATTGGTCGCCATATATTGGGTTTGGGTCAAATTAAGATGATTCAATTTATTACATATTATTGAGTGTGTATTTTCTCGGTAAGAAATTAAACTTTAGATTAATTTTGTACTTCATTTTATCCTTAAAATTTCAGAGCAGACCCCGATAGAAATTAAAGATCGAGGACAAGAAACAATATTAGCCTACAAAGCTGCTATTAGACATGGTACCAAACCTTTGCAACACACTCGGTTTATGCTGGTTGGCCCAGAGCGAGTGGGGAAAACCAGCCTCAAGAATGCTCTTCTTGGGCATGAGTATGTTTACATATTATCTATTTATGTTGATTAAGTGTATATATATGGAAAATTACATGTAAAATGATAAACACATAAAACATTACTGCAAGATATTGAGAGTTTTTCTCTTCATGTGTAACATTTTTTATATAAAATTATCTCTTTGGAGTTTTTGTCTTGTCGTTTAAGGTGCTTAAAAGAGGAGGGTGTATCACATTGAGATCTATTTTAAATTTTTTTGCATTGAATACTAACAGCATACCAAGAATGTGAAATCAATTTCATCCAATTGTATTTTGAACACTCACAGATTTCTCTTCTTTAACATTTAAAATTTATCATGCCTATAGCATAACCATAAGTTTATCATTTTGTTATATAATAGTTTATTTACATATATATCTATTTTTTCATTTAAAATACTGACAGCATATAAAATTTATCTGAGAATAGAGAGATAGGCTTGTTTCACTGTACGCTTATGTTAAGAGAGTGAGAAAACAATTTACTTCCATGTTATTATTACAGTATGTTGCAAATATTATGATTTTTTTTAACAGTTTTAATATTCTCGAAGACAAGACAGATGGTATTAAATCGTCAATATGTCGTATTGATATTGAGGATATTAGCAATTGGGAAGAGGATGTAAATGACCCAGGTTAGAGTTAATTATTAGTATTTATATTGTCATCATTATTATATGTGTTATGGTAGTAATGTTATTTTATATTATTATTGTTAACATTGTAAAATTATTATTTATTATTAATATTATTACTATTAGTAGCAGCAGCAGCAGTATTCGATCATTGAATAGCATATTAACATTAGACCTATTAAGGTTAATCTTCTATGTGCATATTAAAACTGTATGTGTAAAATTTCGGTTAGTTTATATATAATTTTTTTCCTTTTACTAGGCTATAACATATCACAATACATAGCTAAGGAAACAGCTGATATTTTAAAGAAAAAGTCAGTACAAACGTTTTCAACAACATCATCCTCAGCATTGCCATCTTCATCATCGTCATCATCATCGTCGTCGTCGTCACTAACAACATCTTCATCAACCTCAGCAGCAGAGGAAGTAGATAAGGCAGAGAAAAATATTTCTAGCTCAACGGCACACATGATGGAAGGAGATGATGAAGGTATTGTTTACTGAAGTTTATCGTATGTTTAAATTTCAGGCTGGCTGATTAATGCAGTGGTGGACCCAGGATTCGAAATAGAGATGGGGGAGGGAAGGGAGGAGGGACTTTTACAAATGGAGGGTGTATACCACAAAATTCTGTGGATATATCACACCAAAAAATTGCCTTCTTGAACCCGAATTTTAATATTATTTTTTTTTCTCATTTCTTTTTTAAATTTCTGAAATTTAGGCAGCCCAGGCTGTCTGGAAACAAGGTGCTACTGTACCAGTTTAACTGTTCTGATATAGATTTGATGTAGACCATGCTGTCTCTTTTGATTCCAATCAATTCAAACTGTGATATCATCACTGAAAGATTCATTTAACATGTTTTGTTTTTCCATTGTGTTTTTAATTAGACAGTGACACATTGCCAAAAGATATTAACCGCCTGGTGAATACCTACATGAAATGGTCAGATGAAAGTCTTGAAGAAAAGTGTAAACTGCTGTTTAGTGTCTGGGATTTTGCTGGCCACTACCTCTACTACACTATGCACCAGGTGATGATTATTTTTTTTGTTTTGTGCATGTCCAGATACGTTGCTGACTCTATACTGAACTTTAAATGATGCTTTCTTCAATACTGTTCATGAGATGCCTCTTTTCCCTTTCTGTACCGCAACGACATGATAAAACAAAGTGTGAAAATAAAAATAAAATGGAAAAATAAATAACTTATAAAAACAATACAGAATCTAGTAGTTCCTATGCCACCTAGCAGGCAAAGGCATAAATTGATAAAATATTAATTATAACATGCAATAGTATTTTGTGTATTTTTTGTTGTTTTTAAAAATATTTTAGGTGTTTTTGTCACCTCGTTCAATTTACTGTGTTGTATTTGATGCCAGCAAAAACCTACATGATAAAGCAGACCTTGACTTCATACCGGTCGGCTCCTATGAGGTAGGCAATTTAACATTTAACATTTGTTTCTAAACTATCCTCATTTAGCAAGTTGGCTGTTAATATGACATAACAACTTCATGCCAGAATTCTTGATTCGCAGCAGCAGATTGCTACCACATAACTGCTCCTTCCATTCCAAGGAGGTGTTTAACGCAGTGGGTGTGGTTTTGCTTCTCAACCTTGAGGTAAAGGTTCTAGCACCTTTATTCATAATGGGTAATCTTGTAAATCCTAAATTTTCAACTCCATTGCTAATTTGATAAAATGTATTTCTAGGCAATTGTTCAAGAATTTACGCTCAACCATGAGATGACTAATCTCGAGTTCCTGAACTTTTGGATCAGCTCTATATTCTCACATGTGGAGGCAAATGAACAGGAGCAAGATGGCGACGGCCTCCTTAGCCCGCCGGTATTCATTGTCGGCACCCACCTTGACTGTATCCCAGGGACCGATGAGGAGAAACAACACAAGGTATATGAATAATACACACATTGGCAAAAATGACGATTAGTACTGGTATTTATAGTACAATTTATATTATTATTATTTTTTTTTTTTTTTGTGCTGTAATTAATTAGTGTACAGGATAATTTATGAAAATGAGATGCAATAGGGCTAAATACAACCACTTTCTTAAAACCACATAAAGTAAACTCAAGGGTAAACATTTAATATTGTAATACTCCACCTGAACTTATATTTACTTCGTATACTGATGCATTCAAAACTCTTTTAATCTCTTTAATCGATCCATAATTATTATAATCGTTTGTCGACAGCAACAAATAATATTTTTCCTATCAGTCGCTATACAAATACTCCAATTCATCTACAGTATTTATTTTTTTACGTAGTTTATTACATATACGAAAAAAATCTCTGTTATTTACATGTTTTGGTGATATGTTCATTTGTAGCTGGCTGAAATCTCCAAAACTATTAAGGACTACCTTGAAGACAAAGCATACAGAGGCCATGTTGTACCTCAAATCTACTTTGTAGATAACAGCCTTCGACCTGTGGGTGAAAGCCTAGAGAAGTTCAGGGAACATGTGGAGGAAGTAATGCGAAAACAACCATACATGGAGGATAGAATCCCAATATCTTGGTTCCAATTCCAGAGTCACATGATCAAACTTCGAAAAGAAAAGGACTACATAACACTAAAAGAGGTAGGCCTACATTTCTTTAAGAAGAGTGTTGTCCTGTGCAGCCCTTGCTTTTGACGGAATTGATCGAGAATTAAAGGTCAATATATTTCATAAATGACTAATGGGGATATAAAGTAGGCCTGTCAAAAGATTAATATTGAAGTATAGATGTAGATTGCTGGTTAAGTACTAACCTTCCAAAGTCCTAGGTTCTGATCGATCTGGCCAAATAGGACCTATGGTGCCTATGTGAGGATTTTGCTCTCAACTGGAGTTTTCATTGGAAATTTGATTCCGATTGGAGGCAATTGAGTTTACACTCTACAGTATGCCATTACAACACTAGTATTTGACATACCATATCTATGCGTGAGATGGTCTATATCATTAATATTTTAAAACATCATTCCAAAAAAAATAATTGTAATGTATTGTATTTTCACTTCTTAAAGGCAAAAGAAATTTCAACACACTTGGGCATCCAGGAAGACGAAGAGATGTTTACAATGCTTCGACTGTTTCATGATGTTGGAGTGATTGCTTTCTATGGTGCGGATGATGCTAAAAGTGGCACAACGGGCGAAATCATTGTGCTCAACCCACAATGGCTAATCAACATCTTCATAAAAGTCATCACCATCAACAAACGTGAAAAGAAGGTACTACTGATTTTTTAAATTTTAATACCAGTTATTTTATTAAAAATATATACTGTATGAGTTGAGCTGTAAGAAATAATTAAATTCATAATTTGAATTAAAAAGATGTAAATATTAGGCCTAGCTTTCAATTGTAAATCAAATCTAGAAGATGAATGCATAAAATTTATACAGTATTCTTTGGCACCTTTAAACTTGACTAGTAATTAATTGAATTTTCGAGGTAAATTTCCCTAATTCAGTCCGAAATACTTTGTGATTTTAACAATAAACATGATGGCGTTTGTATTTATAATTGGATTGGAGTGTTTTCTGTATGTTTATTTTGCTCTCTGTTTGCTATTATATTCTGTGATTTTAGTTACACCATTCCTACTTTTCTGGAAATATTTTTGCAGGGACGTTGGTCCTTTAAAATACAGTCACTTTGGTCGATCTCTCTGTTTTCTTGTTCTAACATTAAGCTTAATCCCTTTTCACTGTTTTCTGTTTGTTTTAAATGGAAAATAAACCTGTAAACTCTAGGAGGTATACATTTTACCGTGCTGTATTACTCAAATTTTATTGTCTTGTACATTTGCATTTTCAGTGGACAAATTTTAACTGGTGCTGGAGAATCTTAGAGCAAAAGGGAATTTTAGAAGAAACTTTAGTCAACCATGTATGGTCCGACTTTTCTAAAAGTCAAATAGACTCACTTCTTAAAATAATGGAAAGATTTGACTTGCTGTGTGAAAATAAAGTCCAGGTGAGTGGAAACAGTTTAGCTCTGTCCACACACATTTGTGTGATGTTCCCATATATGGGCATGATGATGTCAAACTATAACCAAATATGGGCATTTGACAGTTATTGTGTCAAATTCAATTCAAATTCAATTTAGTAGTGTCGACAACGCTTTACTCATGTTTAGTAATTATTGTAAAATGTCATGTTTTTAGATAACTTATAAATTGTCTTGTGTTTTCTTCTTGTTCCAAGCCTATTCTTTTTTCTGTCCTTGAAAGTTATATACCTAACATGTTCCTCTCAAACTTGTTGTTTCTTTGTGATTTGTTTTTTTTTTTGGGGGGGGGACAAAAGGTGAATGGAAATATTGCTGATAAATCTTTTGAAAAAAGAATGTTGTAGATCAATTATTATTTTTAGACTTTTATATGAAAATGATGTTTTGTGGACAGTCCTTATCCATCATTAGTCAACATCCCACGTAACTACAGTGTAACCTGACTTTATCAAAATTCAGATTTCTATTGTTTGATTTTCTTAGAGAGATGGAAGTGATTCGCTTTCTACCGTAGACAGCAACCTCCAGCGACAGTTTTTTGTTCCTTGTCAACTGAGACCAAATAAGGAAGACCATGGAAAAAAATGGGAATTGGACCTCAATGCTGTTGTCATTAACATCATTCCCAAAGATGGATTTCTTCCAGGTATGAAGAACCCATCACAATAGCAGCACCATGAACAACATTAGGAACTGAGACTATATAAACAACTACAGTATATAGTTGTCTCAGAAACAAAAACATCATCAGGTAGAAACATAAAAGCATCTGCATCGACAACAATGTGTGTAAGCATAGGATAAATAAAATCAGATGGAATAGAGGTCATCAGTCTGCAGTTGTATTAAAAGCTAATGTTGATGACATTAAAGATATATATTTATTGTTTATTTACAGAGGGGTTGTTCCATCGTTTGACTGTGAGGGCAGCAGTTTGGACGCAGCAGAAAGAGGGTCAATCAAAACCCCCTCGTTTGTTCTATAGGCAGACGGAACTGTACCTTGATGAGGACCATGAACTTATCATGAGAATGCATGTGACAAAAATGGGTAAAAGGATGATAAAGGTACATAAAAATGATCCTTTTCTTTAGCAATGTAACTGTTAATATGTAGTGCCAACATTAGTTGCCGTTGTTGATTTTGCGCTGTGCACGCACCATATGTATTTTTGATTTGCTTTAGGCTCTGTTGGTCTCTCACACTGTTATAGTTTACCGATGTATGTCCAAGAGTTAAATTGTTATAAAAAGCTTGTGTTTACAGTATACATCCTAGCTTTACTACCTTGTGATTACTCAGTGTGGATACCATCTTTACCAATACTGGCGTAGTGTGTAGGCCTACAATTGCTAATCTTTATCTACACTGTATAATAATATTTAATTCACTTTTCAGATCATAATTTACTACCCGCTTGTAGAGGGTGATGAGAGTAGCAGATCACCGACGCCCTCAATGTGTAAAAAGGTAAGAAGGGGGTAAAGTTTGCTGGTAGTGTATTCGTTTGTTCTTAATACTCAACTACAGTATTAGGAGCGAAGGCCGAGTGTGGGCTTAATGATTAAGCGAAGGCAAGCTAGCTCACAAAATAGGGTGATTTGAGGTGATTTTTTTTGCTAACATTTTTAATGGGGGGAGGGAACTGGAGGCATGGTGCAGTTGTATGACTTTCACTAGTAAGTGAAAGGACATTCATAATATGACATACATAATATCAGTATAGATGTTTAAACAGAAAAGTCAATGCTTCTCCTAAGCGTTGCTTGAAAAAGAGAAAACTTATGTCATTTTTTTTCTCCACATACCCAGACACAGCTGTATATCTAGCTTTGGCAAGGATTTATGCATGCAGTACATATATTCATTGCTTACAGGGTTTTTTTCTTCATTTCTGCAACATTGTTTTGGTGTTTTTAAATCAAAACACTCTGTCCTACAAATTGTAGGGGATGAGACACAAAATTGTTTATTTGACTTTAAAGCATATATTATAACACAAGTACTGTTATTTGCAGGTATTGGTATTCCTTCAGAATAGTCTAAACGACTTAAAAAACATGTGGATGAAACGGATAGATTTCGGCATTTATGTGCCTTGCTACACATGCAAGAAGTTTGATGATCACCATCATCTTCTGGAAAGTTGCCTGAAACACGTAAAGATTGAGTGTGGTAGAAAACGTAAATGTACTATGTATTGGCAGTATCTCTTTGGTGACCGACAAATGGACAAAGGTAAGAAACTGTATATTTAGACTATGTATGTTGCTTTTGGTACATGTACATGTGAAGAGATAAACTCTAAATCATATTTCTGTAAGAATTTATACATACTATATACTGTATAAATTGTAAAGGGCAAAGAAGTGGAATTTGCGAGTGTGAAGAAAAGGTTGCCCCGACCAGGATTCAAACTCAGGACCTTCTGCAGTCTATAATATATATCATCTGATTTATGTGATATATATGTACGCTTTTATAACAGTGATTATAAATTCTATTTATTGCAGAATTCCGACATCCAACGGACAGCCTGGCAAAGGCGATACCAGTAAGTCAGTTATTCTTCGATTATAAAAAATATGAGCCCTACAATCTACATTTTGGGAAAGTGATAATTTAATTCTGTATACTGTCAATAATTAATTTAATTCTGTATACTGTAAATAATTAATTTAATTCTGTATACTGTCAATAATTAATTTTTCACATAGAATCACATTCAAGCCAATGGAATTTCTCTTGCTCCAACTGGCACTGACCTGACATCATCACCAGGTAATTTGTTGTTCTTCACATAGTGTTTATATTATAATAATAATATAATAAAAGCTGTTAGATGTTATGAATATTGTAAAGTTAAATGAAGAAAAAAGAAGTAATTTGTGAAATCTTTAAAAAACAATGGAAAATCAATCAAAATATTGAATTGTTCATATAAAAGTATTGATTGATTGATTGATTGATTAATTGATTAGGTTATCACCTTCCATTGAAACAGATCAAAACAATTCAGATTTTTTTTCTAAATTAATTTAATGTTCAAATTATAATAATTTTAGAAATGTGTATTGTAATGTTTTTTATTTATTTTTCAGGAATTGAAAACGGTGAAATAACTAGTTCTTCTACAAGAGTAAGTTCTGTACATGTACTTGTTTTCAATATACAACATAAGACACCAAGACGGTGTATCCGATACACACTTTTGGAATTAAATTTTCGAATCTTTGTTTAGTCATGTTAGCCTAACAATTAATTGATGTCCTTGTGAATATATATAGATATATAGGCTCTACAAAAATGCCAGAATATGAACAGATGACCAATTAGAATGTAGTTGTATACGCAAACAAGAAAGTTACTTTGAAACTTTTTTGATTGGTGCAATGGGTTTAATCTTCTTGCATGTGTTGCAAAAATATTTAACCAATGGGAATTATGTAATTACAAAATCATTTTATAATCATCTGTAATTCTGTTGTCTAATCATAATTAATTCATTAATCTAATTATATTTTATTTGTTTTATTAAGAGGCTGGTATCAGAGTTAACACCTGCTTATGTTGACCCGACGACCAGTACTGCTGGTAACCAGGGCAGTGGCACAATATGCACTGTGTTCGGTAATGGTAACATTGTTATCTTAAATAATCAAGGAACCATAAATATCAATCAAAGATATTTGCAGCATGCGTTTGTGGGAATAATGTGTATTCTCTTCATGGTGTTAATCATGTATATATATGAACAAATAAATTAATAGATAATTTGAAAAATTAATTAATGAATTATATATATATATATATATATATATGAAGAAGGCGTGTCCACGTGTGTTATATGTAGAATATAATATAACGTAACAGTAAAGAAACTCAAATACGTAAGATGTTGACTTTAGAAAGT